ACGCGCGCGCGCGCGCGCGCGCGCGCGCGTCCTGCATCGAACAGAAGCTAATTGTAAAAAAACATATCCGAGAGAGAAATTATCGGAAGAATTGCAAATGCTAGTACTTAATCCGCTCTGGTTCAAATGCAAGCGGCAAATCTAGAGTTAACAGCTGAAACAAGCAGTGAAAACAGCGGCTACCGCAATAACTGCAACAACAGTGGCATCAGTGTTAGCAAAACCCGTAGCAGTAGCAAGGGTAACAGTATAGCAATAGTCGCAGTGACAATAGCAGCAGGAGCAAGGACAGTAGTAGTAACAGTAGCTTGAGTTAGCACTAGTAGCATATGCAGCGGCAGCGGCAGTAGCAACAGCAGCAACAGCAGCAAACGCAGTGGTATCAGTCGGAGTTGGAGCACCAACAGTAGCAGTAGCAGTAGCAACAACTGATCATGAAGCAACGGTAGCAGTATCAATAGCAGTAGCGAGCAACTGATTCATGAAGCAAGCGGTAGGCAGTATCAGCTATGCAGTATATCAGGGCAACTGGGCAAATCCGTAGGCAGTAAACAGAGGCATCTGGTGTAGTAAGGCCTGATCCGAAATCTGGCGGCGCGTCAATACGGGTAATTCTGTAGATCATGTCAATTGCAAGCATACATGTTGCGTTTCCCCCTTGTTCGGCTCATCGGCCGAAAAGACCTAAATGGGCAGAAATGTCGCTGGTGAGGCAAGAAACATTATACAAGTCGCCTTGTACAAGTCAGTTCGAATTCGCAGCCTGATTTCCCAATGATTCCTTTCAGAGCCTGGCACATGCTGCATTAGGGCGTTAATTAAGCTGCCGAAAAGGTGCTTCACTTACAGAGAGGCGGCCTTGGCCAAAGGCCATCGTCGTTTCTGTGGAGCGGACATACGTGCAGAGGCGATAGTTTTATTCGACCGTATATAAGGAGCAATCGCAGCAAAGTTTGATCTTTTCTTTATCGATACTGAGAACGATTTTCTTCGCATGCCGTGCTAAATAGCTGATGCAGTATGCAGCGCACGCAGCAGCATCGCGCGCGCATAAATAATAGACTTTGGTCTAAAAATCTCGAGCCAGGCTAAAGCTTCGGCAGCGCTTGCCTTCGCTCGCGCAGCGATGCATGTATTGTATATTTAACGAA